AAGAGAAGTAGGTAAACACTTTAATAAATAGCAATGAATAGAGCTCAAGTGTTTAATGTGTGAATCTTTGATGTAAGAATGTTTTTCAAGAATGAGTTTTGATCAAAGATTTTTCAAGAGCTAAATGATTTGATAATAAATGATTTGTAAGATCAATGTAGGCTCAAGGTTTATCAAATTTGATGCTCAAGAAGTGTGTTTACAAATGGTAGGTGAGTTGATATTTATAACAGTAAAAACGTCAAAGTCTCTGTCCAACCGGACATCCGGATCTGAACCGGATGACCCAACTTACCGTTAGAGACACTTTGTCAGAACGGTAAAAAAAGTGACCGTTGCTGGCGAACCGGATGTTCGGTTCGCGATCTGGACATCCGAATGACCAGAGTGTTTTTTAGGTAATTTTCCTTTTTGTTTTGTTTGCAAATAATGATTTTTCTAGATTTAATAATGTAAGTTTGTTTTTATCGTTTTCGAGAAATATGTTGAGAAAGAAACTTTCTTTTGAAGGGTAATTTTGTGCAAACGTTTTTGTCTCGTAAAATTTGTCGAGTGTAAGAAAACTATTACTTGAGCTTGAAAATGTCATTACTAGGATTTTAAAGTGATTTACCTTTACAACCGACTTGAGAAAAAATCTAGTTACAACGTCTTTGATAATATGGGGCGTAAAGCTTGTCTTCATGATTGTTCGATCAATCTTTGTTTGAGCTTCCTTGATTGACAACATTTCGTTCAATGACTTTGACTCAATTTGCCAACATGTAAATTTAAGAATTAAGTTAGAAATAAACATAAGCTGTTTGTTATAATCAAAACATAGGTCAACAATGAAATCTTCCATGTTTCATTTGTCAATTAATTAATTGAGCCCAAAATATCATTTTCCTACATTCAGCCCAAGCCTAACTTTCGATTAATAAATGCTAAAAAATTTAATTATGGTATGAAATCAAACCAAACGAAATCGAATCGATTCAGTTCCATAATTAAATTTAAACCCAATGATTTCACTTAGAGATGACAATTTTCCCCGTCCCGTCCCGTCCAGTCCTCGCGGGGCCCCACCCTGAATAGGGCAAAAAAACTCACCCTGAACGGGTTGGCGGGGTTTGCCACCCCGCCTCGGGTTGCGGGGCAGGGCGGGGAGGAGATACCCCTCCCCGAACCTGCCCCGTGAAAAATTTTAAAAAAATTATTTTGGACATTATTTGTTTTGGACATTTTTTATTTCGAGTGGTTGCTTTGGATATTGATTTAGTTAGTTTGAGCATTATTTGCTTTAGATTTTAAAATTTTGAATTTGTATTTTAACTAAAAATAAAAAAAAACAAACGAGACAGGAAACGGGGCAAATCCCCGTCCCATCCCGCCCTGCCCCTTCTAAGGTGGGGCAAGACGGGGGAATGGTGTGGCGGGGCGTTGCCATCACTAATTTCACCCTGAACCCATTCCATTGCCATCACTAATTTCACTTACTAATATCTGAAAATTCTGGTTTGATTCAGTTCTCTTTAGAATTGGACAATGTCACACTCTAAAAACAAAAATAAAAAGGTACCAAGAAAATAGAAAAAAAAATGAAGGGAAAATTGCACAAGGAGTTCCCACTCTTTTCAGAAAATATAAATAAATCCCACTTCTAAAAAGTAAAAAAAAATATTTTCTCAACTAAACCCACTTATTGACATATACACAAGGAATTTAAAAAAGGGATTGCATAAAATCAACAAAGCTCCTAGATTTCAGCCCTCAAAAATTTTGAGAGAAAAGATGGTCATTTGCAGCTATATTATGACACTTTGAATTCAAGGTGAAGTTTTATTGAATGAATGAATAGGAGAACAAAGCAACGTGTAGCTAAATTAAGGATGGCAACGGGGCGGGTATGGGACGGGTTAGCCATTCCCACCCCCGTCCGGTCGGATTTTTTCGTTACCTTACCCCATTCTCATACCCGCTTAAAGCGGGACGGGGCGGGATCGGATCGGATCGGATCGGGGCGGGGCAAGTTTTATGCCCCATTTATCGCCCTATTAATTTTTCCTTTTTATTTTTTTTTACTTTTTACTTTTTTATAT